TAACATAGAAATATGTAACTTAGCTGTGATGTCCTATGACAGGTATGTAGCCATTTGTTGTCCTCTGCAGTATAACAGACGTATGACCACTCTCAGAGCCTTGGTTTTCATCACTGTTGTATGGTTGTACTGTTTTGTCAGGGTTTTAATCACAGTGGCTTTAAACTTGCGTCTGACGCTCTGTGGAAACTTTATTGACAAAGTGCGTTGTGCTAATTACCCCATTGTTAAACTGGCCTGTTCTGACACCACAGTCAACAACATCTATGGTCTGTTTGGTACCGTCCTCTCAGTGGTCCTGCCTCTGTTCCCCATGCTGTTCTCCTATGTGATGATTTTAAAAGTCTGTTTTTCTGGTAGTAAACAGACCAGACAGAAGGCTCTCAGCACCTGCTCTCCTCAGCTGGTCTCACTCATCAACTTTTCCTTTGGTTGTTTATTTGGAGTTCTTCAGAGCAGGTTTGACATGAGAGCTTTTCCAAAGATTCCAAGGATCTTCTTGTCTCAGTATTTCCTCATCCTCCCACCATTCCTGAATCCTTTATTGTTTGGATTACAGATGAGCAAAATAAGAAAACATCTTTTCACTCATAAAGTGACCTGTCACAAAGATCAGCGATGATATCTTGGTGATTAGAAACTAAGAGTTTAGGGCTCTCAGTATGTTTAGTTGTTACTGTCTCATAAATAGTTATTACACTGTGCAGTGCAGACTTCAAATCAGTTATGTTTGTGTTGTGATTCTCAGTTATATTTAATGTCTGTCCATCTGTTTTTTTAGCCTTTTGCTGACACACAGTGATGCAGAGTTCTTGGGCTCTTAAGGTGTCGCTGAAAGTAGAGCCATGATTGTGTTTGAGTTCTTCCCCATTAGCCTCTGAATTTTTTTTTCTCCTTCTGTAGAGCCATTTTTTACCTCCTTTAACCAACCATTGTTGTGATCTCCTGGCTGGTGAAGGGACATGTGTTGCTTGGAGGAACCAGGTACTGTGGGGTGGCTCCAGTTCTGGCTGCTTCTCTGTATGACCAGGGTTCGAAGCCAGTGCCACACAAGTTGTGGAGCTTGTTCCTGTTCCTTAGTGTTGCTACACTATGGCCCTCCTAAGGAAGTTCATCTTGGCCTGGTGGATCTTCAGGTTTCTGGAGGTTCTCAGACTGTGCTGCAGATGGAGGCTGTGCTCGTGATCTATTGTCTATTTGCTTGGGTAGAAGTCAGAAAGTCCATTTGTTGGAATGCTTATTCTCCACCATCTGGTGCAACCCCTCGGTATCTTTCTTTGGGATTCTGCTAAGTCTGATAAGGTGCAACATCACAGGGTCTGTAGGTTGGTCTGGCTATCCCTTCCTACGAGAGCTCCCATCTTTTCATGTTGTCTGCTGTCTCCTCAGCTGTCACCACTCTGATTGTGGACATTCATCAGATGGCATAGTACTTGGACAGAAACTGTGAGAAATTCAGTTGGTGAGACATCCAAAATGTATCCAGTAGAATTGACCATTAATGCAACTCTCACCACAGACTAGTGTTGCTACAAAATGGACTGCCTTTGTTTTCACCTTTTATGCCAGAAATAAAATAGAACATTCCAAGCTGATGATTTTATCTCAATTATTTAACACAACGCAAAGAGAGTACGCTGCTGCTGCAAACACACACAAATATTTTGTTTGTTTTTTTAAAAGATTATTTAAGCACTATGAATTTTGTAATGTTGTACTTGAATATCAGTGGAATTATTTATTACTTATTGTGTTAAGGAATGCCAGCTAGGACTTATGTGAGAGCCACTGTGTGAATTTTTGGTGGTCCCAGTGTAGCAGTTATCACTTCTGCCCTGCAAGCAGAGCAGAAAGTCCTGTGTTTGATTCCCAGAGGAACTACATATCCATAATGGCGCCACCCTGTACATTGCAACCATGTACCTAATGTGCCTTCTGTGTCTGCTGCAAAGACTCACACTGTAGATTTCCCCATTGTAGGACAAAAATGACTCAATTGTTATCATTAATTATGTCACTCACCTATACTAACACAGTGGTACCATTGTAATCTAGGCCTTAAAAACATCAGAAGAAAAGGTTCAGTTTTCGTTCATCGACTTCACTTACAAAACAGCACACCAGTAAATGTGAGTTATGTTGTTTACTGACCATCTCTGAACACATTGTCTCTCATTAGTTCTCTGTCACTGACTGTCAGGTCATGACACATTCACCAGAACTCACTTTAAATCAAAGCAGTTACAAAATAAATTATCTAATTTCAATACATCTGCTGTTTGTTTTCATTCATCTTAATCATCACTAACACAGTAAAAGCCATGTTATAGAGATGACCTTTAGATTGTTTCATTCATTTTATCTCCTTTATAAATATATATGTATATATACACACACACATACTCTGAATGATACAAATGTTGTGTTTTTACTGTTTGATGCATCTTTATTCACTGATCATAAGACTGGAACATTTCACTCACGTTTTCTTACATCAGATGTATGTGACAGCTCACTTTATTTTAGTAGTGAAGAGATGTTTACAGGACTTTCTTACTTTGCTCATCTGTAATCCAAACAATAAAGGATTCAGAATTGGCTGGATGATGAGGATATAAAGAGACAAGAAGATTTTCAGAGTTTTGGGAACAGCTCTCATCTCAAACCTGTTCTGAACAATTTCGAAAAAACAACCAAAGGAGAAGTTGACGAGTGAGACCAGCTGAGGAGAGCAGGTGCTGAGAGCCTTCTGTCTGGTCTGTTTACTACCAGAGAAACAGACTTTAAAAATCCTTAGGTAGGAGAACAGCATGGGGAACACAGGAACCAGGATGGCCAACACTGCTCCAATAAGTCCATAAATGTTGTTCAGTGTTGTGTCCGAGCAGGACAACCTCACAATGAGGTAGTTGTTACAATAGGTATTATCAATAACATTCCCACAGAGCATCAGACGCAGGTTCAGAGACAGTGTGATTAGGAACTTAATGAAACAATGCAACCATACAACAGTGATGAAAACCAAGGCTCTGAGAGTGGTCATACGTCTGTTATACTGCAGAGGACAACAAATGGCTACATACCTGTCATAGGACATCACAGCTAAGTTACATATTTCTATGTTAACATAAGTGTAGATGCAGAAAACCTGCAGGAAACAGAGGGAACGAGGAACAGTGTGAACATCAGAGAGAATTTGGATCAGTAGAAATGGAAACAAAGCTGTGGATCCATACTCATTCACAAACAGGCTGCACAGGAACAGGTACATAGGTTCATGTAGACTCCTGTTCATACAGATGACAACAATCACACGTGTTAGAAACAACTATTGACACATAGATCATTGCAAGCATAGTAAAATACAAGTATACAAGTCAAATGTCCAACTGGTAAATAGCCTCCAAGAACGAAAAACAATTTAGTTGAATTTAAATGAATCATTCTTACGTTACAAAAACATTTCTTGCCTTAAAATGAAACAAGTTTTTCTTTCTTTTCAAGAGCTTCATCAGAACTCATGGCTAATTCCATCTGCTCTGTAAATTTTGACACCTAAGTTTGGTTTTATACCTCTTAAGATCAAAGTCTGAGGTCACTTCACAGACACACCTCTGTCGTGTCACCGAAAAGCCACTAGAGGCACTAGAGGCACAACAACAACAAGTTGTATTTTTCAATACAAAATCATTTTGGTTGTGAAATGAATCCAAAAGTGGACATCATGTTGAAGTTAAAGAACAAAAACATGAAATTTTATGTGTTTACTACAGTACAATCACATCTATGATCATCATCTTTTATAGACAGTTCTGGCTCTGGATCCCACCAAATAGTCTGTGGTCCACTTCCATCCCAGGAGCCAGTGGTAATATTGTTGATGATTATAAGTACTACACTGACAATAAATCCGACTGGGCTTAGAAAAGTGAAACCCTTAAAAGTTTTTAGACTGGGGATTAACATAGTCTAAACTATGGAGACTTTAAACAGTTCACAGGTGGTCTACTCAAAGGCCTGCTACACAGGAACCAGGTTTAACTCTGGACTGTTCTCTAGTCAATCACAGTAAGACGTAACATTGATAAACAGAGTGAAGTTCACACATTGTCTGTGATATTTGGCACAAATCTACTTCCATAGTCACAGTCCAAGTTTCCAGGAGTGTGTGATGTAACTGTTGAGTTCTGAGTGGATACAGAGGAGTGGCTTTGGAGGATGAAGAGGACATGACCTCAGCTTCTTCTCTCTAGGGGTATAAAACCAGACTAAAACACCAGAACCTGCAGAACAGGGTGGGTTCTCGTCACCTGGTTATTTGGTGTAGGTTCAGTGATGTCATTTATACTGTGAACAGTGATTATGTTCAATTCAACTGGATCTTTTTTTGTCCTGGGAGGCTATTTACCATTTGGTCATTTGAATTACTTGTATTTTACAATACTTGCAATGATCTACACGTCAATAGTTGTTTCTAACACGTGTGTGATTGTTGTCATCTGTATGAACAGGAGTCTACATGAACCTATGTACCTGTTCCTGTGCAGCCTGTTTGTTAATGAACTGTATGGATCCACAGCTTTGTTTCCATTTCTACTGATCCAAGTTCTCTCTGATGTTCACACTGTTCCTCGCTCCCTCTGTTTCCTGCAGGTTTTCTGTATCCACACTTATGGTAACATAGAAATATGTAACTTAGCTGTGATGTCCTATGACAGGTATGTAGCCATTTGTTGTCCTCTGCAGTATAACAGACGTATGACCACTCTCAGAGCCTTGGTTTTCATCACTGTTGTATGGTTGGACTCCTTCATTAAGTTCCTAATCCCAATGTCTCTGAACCTGCGTCTGACGCTCTGTGGGAATGTCATTAATAGCGTGTGTTGTAGTAATTATGCCATTGTTAAACTAGCCTGTTCTGACACCACAGTCAACAACATCTATGGTCTGTTTGGTACCGTCCTCTCAGTGGTCCTGCCTCTGTTCCCCATGCTGTTCTCCTACCTGAGGATTTTTAAAGTCTCTGGCAGTAAACAGACCAGACAGCTCTCAGCACCTGCTCTCCTCAGCTGGTCTCACTTGTCAACTTCTCCTTTGGTTGTTTATTTGTAGTCTTTCAGAGCAGGTTTGAGATGAAAGCTTTTCCAGACATTATGAAAATTTTCTTATCTTTGTATTTCCTCATCATCCAGCCAATTCTGAATCCTTTATTGTTTGGATTACAGATGAGCAAAATAAGAAAGTCCTGTAAACATCTCTTCACTCATAAAAATAAAGTGACCTGTCACATACATCTGAAAAAGTGAGTCGGTCTTTGTAATGTGTCAACTACAAATGTTCCAGTCTCATGTTCACTGCATGAAGATGTATCACACATTAAAATACAGTATGTGTATTTATCTGAGTAAATGTATGTTCTTATTCATAAGAGCCATCAAACTATTACAATTTCAATCTGAATAACCAGCTCATGATTAATTATGATTATCACTGGAACAGACAGACCGATATCAGCA